TTACAGTGTGCTGAGCACCATCACTTCTGTTTGTAAATGTGAATTTATGACCTATTTTCAGTTTAAAATCAGCAGAAACTGGACAATTAGTTTTCCCAATGTTTGTTTCAGTAGGCATCTCATCTGGCTCCTTGTTTTCATTGTTTTGTTTTTCTGCATTAATATTTTTTTTATTATCTGAACTTTCTGACTCATCAGTGTGTACCATATTCTAATTTCTATACCATGTTCTTTAACATGCCGGCAGTACCACTCTATCCACATTCTGTGCATTCAGTTTATTTAGCCTGGACTGATGTACCCTGACTAGGATCAAGCCACATAAAAGTTACCACACCAGGGCCCCTCCATTCAGTACTATATACTCTCTTGTAGTACACTTTGTCTCCTGTCTCATATTTTTCATCCATAGGCCTTAGCTGCTTGCGCAATGCTCCTCTAATTCTTTCTGAGCACTAAACTTCTGTAAATGCTCTCCTAGAAGCATGCAATCCTGCTAGATACTGCCCTACTCTAGTACTCATAGAGGTGCCTCCTAGAGCAGGTGCCTTATCAACTAAAACAGAAGGCAGGTTAGGACTCTGACCAAACAAGCTAATGCGGGCTATAACCATGACCGTTGATCATACTATTTTTGGCCATAAGAGCCACATCCAGGACAGTTTGACAATCACATCCATTTTCTCTTTTCACCTTTAGGAGGACCTCCGACAGTGTCATGTTGTGTCTCTCCAATGCTGTGTCCGATGCTCCAGGGAATGTAACCCGCTGCAATATTTGTTTCAGTGTTGAGGTGTCCTGCCATGTCTCTAATTTCATCATTGTTGAACTCTCCACCGTTGTCCGTGTATATTCATTTTTGGGCACCATGGACACTTATCCAGGAGTGAATAAATGAGTTGACAATCTCAGAACGTTTCTTGGTCCTCACGATCTTTCCAGTGCTGAAGCGTGTGAAATGATCGATGATGTGCAGGTACCACACTTTCAGACTCTGTCATTACTTTTGTCAACAATGTAATGTTGCATTCCTCCACATTTTCATCTTCTGTCATCTTTACTTCATTTTTCCTGTGCGGAAAGTCTTTTGCCCAATGGTACGTGCTCTGACACATGGTGCATATTGTTTGTTTACCATATTTGTCGAGTGAATTGGTACCTTGCTGCGGCTTCCGCTGTCCGCTCTGTGATGGGCCGTTGCTCCGTCTGAATTCGCAAACAGCTCTTTGCTCCAAAAAGAAATCCTGACTTTCACTGCTATTGCTCGCCTGCTGTTTTTTCCTATGAAAATCAGCTTCAGTCCAGACTTCATAGGCGCAAATGACAAACCCGTGCACGTAGTGATGGCCAGCTGTCTACTCTTCTCATCAAGACAAGCTGTGTCCAAGAGTTTACATCTAGCACAGCATCAGGCAGAGTCATTTTGAACTTCTTCAAGCAATTGTATCGTTGCTCAAATTCTATAACGTAGTCCGACATGGACATCACACATCCTTTAGAAATAGGATGTCAAAATAGGAATGTGCTTCATACACTCTGCCTTTTTCTTCTCTCAAGAATATCGCGTCTAATTTGGCAAGCAATGTTTCCATGCCGTCATCTTTATTCAAGTCAGTCGCTGATATCTCCATAGCGGTTTCTCTGGCTCTCCCTTCGAAAGTCAGCGCCACTGCCAGGGCCTGTTTCTTTTTGATAAGGTCCATAACACGTGTCCAAATATTAATTTCATTTTTCCAGCATTTTTCTGGCTTTGTCCAACTTCGGCAGCACTCTGTAGTTAGAAACCATCTTCTGCTACCATGTTAAGATGCAAAAACACAATGTTTTCTCTTTTTCCAGGTTCCACTTTATTCCCACCTGTGTCTCACACCTAGGTAGCAAGCAAATCGGGCAACAACAGAAACAAACCTTACAATATTTCCCTCCCTCCCAGAGGAGGTTCACAGTAGTCAGAAATATATGGATCTAATTGTACTTCCAGCCACTTAAATCCAAACTGTCCAGCAATCTGTTAATCTGTGTGAGATTATGCTCTGTTTTTTGTTGCAACTTAGTGTATCAGTAGGTAAAATAGAAAACAGTTGTCTGTGTAAGTACAGTAAAACTATTACATTTCTAATCAGCCTAATGAAGATCTGTTTCACAAGTGCTTTTATTTAAATTCTAAGGTTTTTCTTTCCCCAATTACAATTCAGAATACAAATCAAACATCAGTTTTTTTTTCTCTTCTACTTCCTTCCTGTGCCAGTTGTCAGAGTTGCAGCATTAAATGGTCTTTTCCCCACAGCTGAACACACAGGGAACCAGTCAGATGCAGTAGAACACAACCATGTTGCTGCTTAACTGCTTTAAAATCAAAGTTTGTTCTTGTCTAATTGGCTTTTTGCACGTCCTTCAAATCAGATTGCAGCACATAGGAAACAAGCTGCTGCAAAATGTTTTGGAGAAGCAATCGTGGGTTGATGCAGAGAGGACACGGATGTACTCAATTAGCATAAAATTAAGGGACAGCAGGTCACGTCTAAAAGGGGCTTTTTAAATGTCAATTTATTACCCAGAAAGTGACAGCAGCTGCAAAGCGTGTCATAATAATAACGCATCTTTATGCTCGATGGTGAAAGTGTCCGTTTTTTTCCTCCCTAATGCAGCGCAATTAAGAATTAAGAGTTTGTAACATGCTTATGAGATCTGGATAGCTTCCCGACCACCGGTCCAAAAATTCAGGGTTCTGATCTTTGAGTCACTCTGTTCCTACTTTTGCTGTGTGATAAAATGTTCAGTCATGCTGAAATATACAGCAATTTACATCGGGAAACATTTAATTGCATTTTGTATATTTTAAAATGTTTTGATATTTAAATGCATTCCCCAACAGATGTTTTTCAGCTTCCCTGTAGCTACATTCTGCAGTATATTAGGTGTGAACATCAATGGCAGCAAGAATGCATAACGTTTTTGCATGACAGTTGAAATATTATAGCCTCCAAAATGTGGCATGCCAAGAATCCTTCTTGATTGGGATATTGAACACTTGAATCCAGCAATGATATTCCCACATTTCCACCTAGAGTAAATGATTATCGAGGTGTTCCAGTCAATCGGGTTTGTAACAGCCTAGTTAATTGCCAGAGTTTTATGATTTCATCAACAAAACTTTTTAAAGTGCATAAAGTACAATAAAACCTGGCTGTTTCTGTAAAGAAAAGTTTGGTCACTGATGTTGTAATCCCTGAAGGAGTTTTAAGGGTAGGCTTAAAACGTTCTTTTTTTGATAAAGCTCATAGTTAATAGTGGCTCACGTTATCTTGAACAGTCTATAGTTTTGCTGGATGACATAGAGACTATTTTTTTTATATGCTTTATTCTATCTCTATTCTCAAGATTATTAGTGCTGGTTTATGCCTGATGCATCAATTTTCTACATAGGAATGAGACATGTGGGACACAAAACATGTAGAAGTAGAAAGCTTCCAACAGCTTAAAAGTTGTAGGGAATTCATGTTTAAATGTCAAATCATCCTGTATTAAACATGTATATAAATCTATTCTTTATCAGATGATATTGTCCAAAAAGCCAGAAAATTTATATAAAAAAACTACCCTAAAATCTTTTTTTTTTCGTTATCTTATGCAGGCTAGTTAGTTATACGTCAGCTTGTACACCTAAATTTGGCCAATCATATATAAACGGTTATCTGTCAATCAAATTTTTTCGGCCATAACATTGTAAGCCTTCTACACTAAACCAAGCTTCTGGCGCCATGGCGTCCTCTTCCTCAACAACTTTGTCCCCGCTTTCCTTCTCTAAATAAAAAAATGTATGACGGAGTAGACTCATCCATGACCTCCAACACAAAACTCTCCTCCTCTTGTATGTTTCCGCTGTCCATAGCGTTGCTAAGTGCTACTTGGTTCCAATGAAATTTCCCATTGGGAACTCACTAGCACTAAGTTGCTAACTGGTTAGCAAGATGCTTCCGACAAACCGGTCATGACCAAACTTGCTTGAGAACCTTCTGCCACAACAATCCCGCCCCCTTGATAAACGACCAATCACATTCACTTTGGAACAGCCACTTCCCAACGACTTTAAGTCCAAAAATAAGTTTGTTAAGACATTGTCAACAATCTCTTGATCGTCGTAATATTTATGAGCTAAATCCTAAGATGAAAAGAAGTGTATACTTGCGAAGCCTTGCCAGCAGAAGCTGATGCCCATCTATCTTGGTTTTCTGCGCAGAGATTTCCGATTGTTGACAAATTTTATAAGGTGCGCTGCAGCATCATCCATCGATCTAGACTCTGTTAATGCCTGTTTATACTACTTTCTTTACTGAAAACATCTACTAAAAACATCCAACAAGATCTTCAGTTCTGTACTTTCCACCATTTAAAACACTTTAAACCATATCAAATTTATTGCAGAATTTCTTAAAGGTTTGTTTATTGCTGACTGAAGTCAAATAAAAAGATTTTTTTTTTAATATTTCTGGTTAATTTATAGGTAAATTCTCTAATTTTATAATGTCCCGAAAATTAAGCCTGCTGATATGGACGATGACCACAGAGGACAAGGTAAAGTTAACCTACTCCAGAATCTCTTCCCATTGTTTATCCTAAATCTGCCACATAAGTGGGACAAAAGCTGCATCGTCTGTCTCTGTCTGCCTGTCGAGCACTTTAGGCCCGCTGCACTGCGACGCCGGAAATGTTCTCTGGCCACAGATTCTTTTCAGGAAGAGCAAGCATCCAAACAGAAGTGATAAACTAGCTTTCATCAGGGAGATATGCTGGGAATACATTAAGCTAAATAAATACTTTCCTGTTTTTCAAATAATATTTTAAAACCTGTTAAATATTAAGGAAAACTTCTAGCAGAAAAAAAATGATATCAGCTGAAACCTGGCTGATACTCCATAACGAGAGGTGAAAAGGAGAATAGTTTCTAGAAACAAACCTTTAGTTTAACCACCTATTTGCTCTGCTTAGCCACATTTTACCTTGGGTAGATGCCACTGATCATGTCCTGAGGTAGGAAATCTGAGGATGAGTGGCTGGGTCCTGCAGCTTTGGAGAGAAGCAGCACGATCAGTCCTCTCATCTGGAGATTGTTCTTGCTGTCATAGACGAAGCCTCTGCAAAGAGACACCATCAGGTTCAATCATATGTTCTTAGACGTTTTTAGGAGCAAAAATCCTCCTGGTAGGATGACCTGGACTCTGTGTTTGGAAAGAGGTTTATTATGGAGCCCAACCACAGCAGTAACAGAAACTTCAAAGTTTTTTTTTACTTTCAAAAAAATATAAACATAATTGAATAAAAATATAAACATGTATTGCATAAATCAGTTTCCTCCCCTCACAGACTTCCTCTTAATTAAATTAGCCAAAAATTAAGTCCAATTTTAATATCTAGCAGTGTTTTAACATTTTAACTGCATGCAAGCTATTTTTTTTAGGTTGTTTGTCCTAAAAATCAGATTTTTAATAGGTGCTTTTAAAGCAGAGTCTGTTTTCAGTTTATTTTAAAACATTTCAAAACCAGCTATTGACTTACATATTGTCTGTTAACCAATGTTTTTTTTTTCAGTTTAAAATATTCCAAACAATATCAGTTTTTTCCTTTTAACTCAGGATTAGGGGGCTGCATCACAGCACAGATATCATGATAACTGCTGGGTTCCTTTAAATCAGTGGAGTCACTTGTCAAAATCGGTTAAAATACTTAAGCTGCCAAAAACTACAACCTTGTTTGAAACATAATCTTTGTAGATCTTGATATCTTCATCACTGTTGATTTGAAACATGCATTTTTTCTTATTTAATTACAAGCTGACAATGTATTCTTAGTCAAGTAAAAGGTTTTAGTCTTCAAACAGCAAACAAAACAGGAATAACACATTTACAAACTAATAAAAACTGGGGGAAAAAAAGCTTTAACACAAAGATATCTGAATAGAACGAAAAAGAAAGTCCTTTCTACCTAGAACCACCCCCTCTTTAATCCACATCTTAAGTTTAAACCATCCCTGAAGCAATAAATAAAGTGTTTTATCTGTGCAACTGTAGGGAGATAAATTGTTTTATTTGAATAAATTTCGCTAATAAATTAGGAATTATGGAGGTTAATCAATGAGGTTATGTTTTTAGTGAAAGTTGGAATGTTATGAATGGATTTTAATGAACTTTTTCACCAAAAGATGCAGCTCAGTCCAAAAAACTATCCATTAAATTTTGATGATGATCCGCATAATCTGGATGCAGGAATTTTTAAAAGATTCTTTAACATTATTTGGCGGAACAAGCAGTTTCCCGCTAAACCAGCGATTTGCAGCACTGCCTATGGACAGCTTCAACGTCGGACTCAAAGAAGTCCAGAAATATCTTACTGAAGACAAAAACACAGGAAAAGTGAGCCATGCCTCGCTTGAGGTCTCTATCTGCTGATCCAACATGAAATCAGAGTGCAGAGTGAATGAAGAATGTGAGAGCAGAACAAACACTAGAGGCTGAAGACAAACACTATGCTTTATTTATAAATGTATGAAAGGATTTTAGCGAAATTACAAAAGATGAATCTCATGCTACGAAACAATTCATTAAATTGGTAATGATCCAGATCATGTGCGAGTTTTAGCTATAGGTGTAAACCACAACACGGGGCAAAATTTGGTGCTTGGCAGAGGTCTGCGCTCTCCCTGTGCTTTTCTAGGATTTTAAATGGAACTTGTTCTTTATTCATTCCATATGCATGAAGAGTTAAATGTGTCCTTAATGTTGCCAACACCATGCTGCACTAATGGCATGTTTCCCTTTGGTGATATGCAGTGATTTTTTTTTTTGTTTCGAAAGTATTTTTTTGAATTATTACAAAATGTCAAGTGGGGTTTGCTTAGACCATATGAGATGAGGGATAATTTTATCCAAGCCTCAATGTTTTCTTTTCCTGCTGTCATCTTTTTAACACATTCTGTAGGAACTTCTGTATTTTTTATACCCAAAGTTAAAATTTCTTCATATCAATAGCTGTAAAAACCTAAAAGGAAAGAAAAAACTGCTGTAAAAGCATAAAAGTACCAAATAAAATGTGATGTACTAGTCAATATAATTTTACAAATAAAATAAAAAATCTAGATATACTAAATAAACTTTTTTTTAACTGCACCACAATGTAAATATAATGCTGTGGATTTCTTTGTACCCTTCTGACAGATACCCATCTAAAATATTACATTTCTATCTTTTGTGGCCTTTCTCAAAGGTGCAGCCTTAGCCAAAGGATGTAAATGAAATGATGTAAACAAACTAAGAGTTTTGAAAACATGTAGCTGGTGAATTATTGACAATCGGTGTGACAACTGCATTGGATGCAGAATCAAATCAAAAGGTCTTTCAGGAAAGTTTAAGCTTAAGGGTCAGAAATTCAGGTTAATGTAACTTCTTTATCTGTAACATCTTAAAATTTATTTTTCAGGTCATCTAAACAGTTTCATTAAAGGATTTTCTTTTTAAATGAAATCTGTACCCTGCTCCACCAGTGATTTTTAGGATTTTTAAGAGGATATTTTATAATTCCTTCCTATGAAAATATTTACCTGCAGCACATTAATAGGATGCAGGTGAAAATTCAGATTACTTAAAGTCATAGTTGCAACTTTTTCAACAAAGCTACAAATAAAAAAAAATTAAATTGACAGATCATCTAAAGTTATGCAGAATAAAAGTATTAATATTACTAAAAAATAAATATACACAATTGTTTTTAAAATGTCCAAACTGGGTCCAACTACTGGTTATGAGGAAAAAGTCAACAGTTTAGGATTCAGGCAGGTTAAATGCCTGCTGTTTGCATTAGCATTAGTGCACCAATTACTTGCATGGAGGGGTTAACGTTGTAGCTTTCGCCTTTAAGCCTTAGACATAACTTTGTTTCTTCTTTTTATAGGATCCTGTTTAAACAGAATTTAAACAAACCCTTAACATATTCAAAAGCGCATTTTTTATCAAAATTTTGCATATAGATACAACATGATTTTCATTGATCAGTTTTACCTTTTTTTGGTGAGTTTAAATGATGGGGCTAGGAGGGTGATTTCCACCCAACCCCCTGACGCATTCTCAGCAGCACACACACAGAGCCCAGCGGTAGCTGCCTCGATTCTGGGAGGATTAAATATCTTTATACTCTCTCTGGGGAGCGGTTAGACGCAGCACCTCTAATCCCGTCCCTATGGGAGCCCCTCGTCTCATGAATCACGCTCTCGTTAGGAGCTCTGGGGCAGACAAGCGGTCACGCCCCTCTCCGCTCGATGCCCAGACACGGGCCTTAACAACACCCCCCTTCAAACCTCTCTGACCCGCCCCTGCACCGCAGCGAGGGTGGAGGAAACAGCCAGAGACACAGAAGAAGTAAGAATCCATAAAAACCTTTTTTTTGATAGAAAAAAGCATCTCCCTGTCGCATAAAATGCATGAAATTAATGAAAGGTTGGGCTCTTCTTCATTACAGCCCATGAGTAAAATTTATTGTCACTCTAAATCTTTACTGAACAGGAAAATAGTTGTCAGATCAGCAAGTAGAGAGCAAAGACTCATAAAGCTGCCCTCTTCTTGGACAGTCTAAGTAAGACAGTGACCTGAAGGTGGCACATGATTAATATTTATGTCAGCATGCACACCAGAATGCATCAATCAATCACAGCCTGCCTTCTGCAAAGGGGTGGGGGCAACAACGATGATGTGAAAGAAGAAAGATGGTGAGGGCTACAGAGAAGCTGGAGGAATGGGCCGCTGTCATTTTAAAGGGTTGTGAACAGGTCACCACACCCTCTCCACTCTGCAGGCGCAGTGCAGGAATCCAGGAAGCTGCAGTATGTTGGGGCTGGAGTGGAGGCATGCCATGTGTCTGTTCTTTGACATCTTTTTCCAAACATTAAAAGGAAAAATTAATAATAAATCTGTAATATTAATACAGGAGAAACATTTGATTAAAAGCATCCTGCTGCACTGAGCTGGCAAAAAATGACAGGTTAAAATCATACAAAAATCTAGAGTTTTGACCCTAATGTCTTGGATATTATAAGTGTTTTGCAGCAGAACTCTGGCTAAAAGTATTTGGTAAGGTTTAGTTGCATAGCATCATACAATCCATCTGTTTTAACCACATGTTATGAAATAATTACATTCAGCCCTGAGTCAATCTAATCCAAAGTCAGAGGGTTTTTAGCTGCAAACCAAGCCCAAATCATCAGCTCTCTGCCGCCGTGCTAATCATTTGCCATCAGATGTTTCTGCTGATATGCTGTTTTCTCCTCCACTTTACTGCCAGAAACCTCTACACTGGTTTGCAGACAAAAAGTTGTGCTGCTGTTCCATTTTTAAGGGAAAGATTTCACCTAACAACACCCCTTAAAAAGCCACCCTTGTCCAGTCTTTTTAAAATCTTTTTCTCTTGAACTTTCCTCTAAGATGTCCTTGACAAGCTTTCTGACTATTGTATTTTGATTTCAGCTTCAGTGTAATTTTAATCCAGCTATGAAGGCCCTAATTATTGAATTCTAGACTGTGAGAAAAGAGAGGAATCCTGGGAAAAGTGGATCCCAGTTCAAGTTAAAACTCTCAAGGACTGTCCTTAAAGTTTCTTCTCTTTGAGCTGCAGTCCCCTCGCTGTAACTCCACACTTTGGGGCAAAGTTAGCTGAGCAGCAGTTTTTGAGAATGAAAGGAAAGGAAAAACCGAAACCCAACGCCACGAGGGTCTGCCTGTCTGCTATTGTGGATATTTTTATCCGCCGTGCGTCTAAAGCCGAGACACAGAGGGAAATACGAACCAGCCAATGCGAGCTGACAGTGAGGAGTCAGACTGTCAAGAGGTCTGCTGCAGCCTTCCCTGCTGCTACAACACCCAAATGGATTGTCATATCAGATTTAGGCGTATAGGTTATTACACCCTTGGGTTTCTCTTTCCATCCCCGTCCGAATGCCAGGATTAAGTTTGAGGACTCTGTCTTCCAGTTCTTTTTCCTTGATTGTGTAAGTTTATGATTTATCCTATGAAAACAAAGTTAAACTTTACAGGAATCTCCTTACGAAGCAGACACCTGAAAGATTTTACCAAGTCATGAAACAGTAGTGATA